TTTCTTCTGGTTAGGAGGTCGGTTATCTTCATCTTCTTCATCTGAAAAATCCAAAGGTCTTCCTTTCCGGCGATTATCAAAATTTCGGAACTTTTGAAGTTGGGGTTGACCGATTAAACGTAAGAGTGCTGATAAGAGACCGAGACATTCATCGGTATTGTGCCCTAGAGATTTGTGGTACGCACAGTAGCGAGTTTTATCCAATTTATCTTCAGGGGTTCGCACTGGCCTCGGGTCTGGAATAATCCCCTTTCCTTTCAGTTCTTCGTATCTTCGTATATGGTGGCCGCTCCAGCAGAATAAACAGCGTGGTAACCTGTCCTGACGTTGTCCGAATATTGATCACGAGCAGCCCGGGACTCTGGGGTATTTTCATACCCTCTAGAGGAGTTCCGAAATTGGGACTTTCCAAAGTTCTTTTTGTTTTTCTTCTTAGTATCCGGTTCACCCTTACTTTCTTTTACCGAAAAGTCGAAACTGGGCACCGACATGGATTCTTCGGCAATGATGAATTGTTGAGCCCGTACAAGAAACTCTTGAAATGTAGCAGGCTTATTCTGACATAAGGTCCAACGAAACATTGAATTGGGCCTCAATCCAGCAATGGCAGTTACTAACAAAGTTTCAGGATGACATGGCTCCATATTCTGAATCCGGTCATTAAATCGGGCTACATAGTCTTTAACGGTCTCATCGTCTTTTTGCACGATATTCGTAATCGATTCTTTCGGAATGAGGCAAATCTGAGCACCAATAAAGTGTGACCGGAAAGCCGCACGTAGTTGCTGCCATTTCCATATCGAATGAGGTGGAAGAGTGTAATACCATTTCTGGGCTCGTGGCCCCAGTGTAAGTGAGAACATTCGACACCTCAGAGCATCTGAAGCTCCATGTAAATCCATCCAAGATGTGTAATGACCTAAATGAGCGTCTGGATCCGACGTCCCATCATACATACCGATTTGCGGAATCTTTACTTTGACAGGGAGTGGCTCCGCAGTAAGCTCGGGGGCTAACGGAGAATCTGCCTCAACAACAACATTTCCCGACGTCGCGACATGTCGGGGCGAATCTTCTTGTGACTTCTGTCGCATTTCAAGTTCGGCCAAACGTTTGCGGAGGGTTTCAATTTCCTCCGCACTGTGTCTTGAAAGACGGTTGCGCTCAATTTGACGTCGTAAATCTTCACGAGCGTGAGGTGCTGATGAGATGGGTCTAGGACGTGGGGAAACCCTTTGATGATGAGCAGAATGACTCTCAGCCGTCATCTCCTGCACAGGGGGCTGATCTTGGGCTTGATTGTTCGTTACGGGATTCACGATCACATGAACTGGTTCTTCTTGACGTGGAGAGGTATGATGAGGTTGGGACGTAGCACGTGACGTCGCAGCATGTGTTTCATGATCATGATGAATATCATTGGGATGCTCTGTTGGGTTAGTAGTCAAGGGCATCGTGCTCGAGTTTCTAGGCATGGCTCGAG